CCCCATTTCACAATCTGTTTTTGAGTCTCCGTAGTTTCAAAAACATTTGCCATAAAGCTGGGCATTTGCTCGAGAAACAGAAACTCAGGTCCTCTTAGGGATGCCTAAGGGATTGCATGGTTCTTTGGCTCCCAATGAATAATTATTAAAATAAACACCGAGACTTCCAAGCATGATGAAATTGATCACAAGGTCTAAAATACTTACATACTTGGGGTGTTCAGAAACCTTCTGACACTTGCAGGTGAACACTTCTAGGAAGAAATAGAATGAAATTGTACACTGTCAGATTCTGAATATAGAAGATTAACCATCTCCAGTGGAGGTTACTTGCCTCCTGAAGTTCCATGGGTGACGCCTAGAATTATGTTCCAGATATGTGGCACAGTGTGAAGAAATATGCTGAACTGTTTTTATACAGTTGTGTCAATAATATGCATTAAGGTATTTTTAAATAATATATTTAATCTTAGTGAGGGTAGTTTTTTAAGTGTGATGATTATTACAATATTCTAATTTTTAAAAAAATAATTTGTGAGCTGCCTTGGAAAGGAGATTCTGGTTGGGGCATGACATAAAGTTTCAAAATCAATTGATCAATCAGTAAAAAAAGAATTAAAAAAATACTGGTCCCAATGAATAATGGTCCAAGGAATAACAGCGGGCACTGCTGTTATTTAACATCTACATGTGCCACCCTTCCTGGCTGGTGCAGAGTTTTGGGCTGGGATGTCACCAGTACACTGATGACACCCAGCTGTATCTGTTGATGGGTGGCTGGCCAGATACCACGCCTGTGAATTTGGCTGTGGGTTTGGAGGCTGTGGTGAGATGGTTAAAACAGAGTTGGTTGAGACTGAATCCTGATAAGATGGAAGTTCTGTGGCTGGCTAGGGCAGTACATGGGTTTGGGGGGCTGACTCACAGCTTTTGGTGGCGTTCCCTTATTATTGGCACCAACTGTCAAGAGCCTGGGTATGATTCTGGACACCTCTTTGTCAGCGGAGGCCCAGATCACAAATGTTGCCAGACTGGCGTTTTACCAGCTGCACCAAGTCAGACAACTAGCCACTTACCTGTCTTGCCCTGACCTAGCTACAGTAATCCATGCAACAGTCACCTCCAGACTGGACTACTGTAACTCACTCTACATAGGGCTGCCCTTGTGGCTGACCCAGAAACTCCAGCTGATCCAGAACATAGCCGCGCGGGTCCTTACTGGGACCCCTGTATGGCACATATCCAACCTGTGCTGTGTAAGCTGCACTGGCTTCCAGTGAAGTATCAGATTGGGTTCAAGGTTCTGGTGTTAACCTTTAAAGCCCTTAATGGCCTGGGTCACATGTACCTTCAGGGCAGCCTCTCCTGGTATACCCCCAGAAGAGCCTTACACTCAGGAGATAGGAACTTCATTGTGGTTCCCACCCCGAGAGACATCTGGCTGCCCTCAACTAGGGCTAGGGCTCTCTGCCAAATAACATCAGTGCCCCGTGGGACTTGTTGCCATTCCACAGGGCATGTAAGGCAAAGATGTTCCATGGCATTTGGTTGAGGACAGCGACAGTCCTCCATCTAGTCTGGCACTCCTCTACTTCTTTCCCTGCCCCCTCCACTATGAGGCAATGATACTTCAGGCATTATCACCATCAGATTGGCTTAGGCTATTGCAGATTGTGTTTTAAGAATTTTATAAGTCTGAAACATTTTAAGATTTGCAAAGCCATTATCACTGTTGTGCGCCTCCTTGAGTCCTGTTTCTCCGGGGAGGGTGGCCTAAAAGTAGAATTTAATGAATAATAAATAAATAAATAATTTCAGCTCCCTCAAAAATCTTTAGAGCTTCTATTACAATTCCTTTCAAGAATGTTAAACCTTCAGCTCATCTCACAACAAATCCTTAGGCTTATTTCTATATTCTGACATCTGTAAAGTGAATGAAAAAAAGCTAAAAAAATCCTGATTTAAAATGGCTTCCGCCCTTTTCTATACTTCATCAGCAACATTCACATAGCACATGTGATACTCCCCAGACTAGAAAGAGTTTCTAGTGTCACTTGTAAAAATACCCACATCCCATCCAGTGCCCATCTTCTTGATGTATACATGGTTCATTTTTTTTAAAAAAATGGTATCAAGTAGGAAGAATAAGAAATCTAATTGAAATAAGACTTATGGCATGAGCGGTCCAAAATTTGTAGTATATATGGATCAGTAGGGCTCCTGTTAACACCAGTGTCCTTGACTGTCCAACTCAAGGTACGTGTTCTTTCAACAGACTAATCAATGCATCTATTTGCATGCGTATTTCTTATGAACACACACACACACACACGAGAGAGAGAGAGAGAGAGAGAGAGAGAGAGAGAGAGAGAGAGAGAGGGTTTTGTTTGCAGCTGCTGCCCTAAACATTTTGGATTTGAGGAACACGATTCAGTGATAAAATCACCAAAAACACTCCTTCTATTTTTAAAATTAATTTCATGTTTACAAGTCTTGAGTAGCATAAGTTTTTAAAAAGCCTCACTATTATGGCCTCTATTCCAGAAAATAGCACAACACGAGAATATAAAGTTATTTTATAGAAAAAGAAAAAAAAGGGAAGATGAAAAGGGGGTTAGAGAGGACTAGAGCGAGAAGTCTGTCTTTCAGTTTCAATAGGTCTTGATGTTTAAAATCTCTGAAGTTTTCTTATGTGTTAAAAATGAAAAGCTACAAATTTATCTTTTGCCATTTCCCCAAGGGAAGCTGACCCAAATCCTCTAGCAGCGCTTGAAAAGGTTTTCCTAGCTTTATCAAATGGCCCCAACAGAGCCCAGCTTAAAATTAAAAGCTTCCCCTACCAGAGGGAATATATGTGACTTTAATAACTGAAATGTGTTTTTACTTTCTATTACAGGGGTCAAAAGGTTTCTAAACAAACCAAATTTATCAATTATTTAGAGCTGATTTCTTCTGAAGTGGTATTTCTCAGATATTATTTGGTGGAGAAATTCAATGTTCTAAGGCCAGCAGCAGCATTTTATTCATAACAAATTTCTCTGAAACTGAATTTGCTGGGGCAACTTAATTTTCTACTATCGTGTTTGCACTGCAGAAATATCAACTGAAGTGTTAGAGGGCCTAACGAGTGGGGCTTTTCAAAGAGAAATTCCATATAAGCATGCTTATTCAGCACCACCCTGGTTTGCCATTTATTGCTTAAAAAATGAGGCAGTCGATTTGGAGCAGAATTTCTTTAGAAGCAGCAATATTCCTGGGGAAAACACACCCACCCACACTCACACACATATACAACCACCATAAAAGTCGGGAAACAATATCTTAAACCACATTGTCACTCAATCAGGAGAAGAAAATCAGATCAGTGTCAGAAGTTTTGTTAAGGATATTTGGAACTCATATCTCACGTGACTGTCTCAATGCCAGGGCTTTCCCTCAAGAACTCCATACAACATTTCATTTAGTGGAAGGAATAAAATCAACGCAAATGTAGAAAGTGCCCCCTGCTTTTTTATTTCTCACCGAGTCCACAGACCGTGTAAATACTGTGTTTATTATATAGCAAAACACACATTGGGTTGCTGCCTAAAGACTGCCATTTGGTGCTGGCAGAAGATGTTGTAGAACAGTTCATAAATTCATGGGAAGCCCTGTTAAATGAAACCAACCATCCAGGAGCTGACATTCTGCCATCGTTCAAAACCTGTTTTTCCAGCAGCACAAACCGTGAGTTTATTTGTGCAAGAAAATATGAAGTAGAAATGCAATCAAGGTGTTAGGTAGTGCAATTAATTATTTTAAGGGAACATAATTTGTCCACAGAACACCCCCAAAATGAATAAATGCCCCTTACTTAAATATCATTTTATATTCACCCTTCTGTATAAAAGCTGCTAAGTACTGGTATGATACATATAAAATATCATGAATAACTCTCTAGAGGAATACAAAATAGGCTCATATTGTTTCCATCCACAGTACAGATATTCCTTTCAAAATCTATTTATTACGCAATAAAATAATATGGAGTATCATCAAAAATTCACCACAGGCAAACACCACAGTACCCCATGTAAAAATTCTCTCTAGGCTTCCCACATAACATCTAGGCCCAAACTGAGCATCATATGAAAACAAATCACATGAACTGCTGTTAGCACATATCAGCACATATCAGATAATTATGGTTATGTGCACTACAGTCCCCCAATCTATACATTTGTATCTTATTCTTCCTCCATGGACCTCAGGGCTATGTATGAATTCTACCCATTTATAATTATCATGTGAGGTAGATTAGGTGGTGGGAGAAGCTGACTGGCCCATTTCCCCTCCCTTTCAGTAAAAGAGCTGAGAAATGTTTAGCGACAGTTCCGCAAGATTCCACGATGACTGCCCCTCTCAGAACTTGGTATTCAAAAGTTCTTCTTTTTCAGCAGCCCTGGTTGCTGGAGTATGCTCGGAGGATTATTTTTTTTAGATGGAAAGTCTGTGTTGTAGAATGATAGTGTAATGTACTCATCCCAGACCGCGTGTGAGGCAAGGGCTCCACGCGGTCATCTGAAGCCGTTGAGCTTCACTCACAATGACAATGGACCCTGTGGATCCTAGACCGCACCAATAGGGGGGCTAGGCTCCTGGACTAGAGCCTATGGAACTCTCGGCCACTGTAAATAGCCAATACAGGGAGTGGGTGTGTGTTTAAGGTGTGTGTGTTTCCTTGCACATATAAGCCGGCCTGCGAGCCGAGTAAATTGTCTTGTTCTGCAGTAATAAAAGTAGGTGAGTTGAAATCACTCGTCCATCTCCGTACTTTTCACTGGCGAGGAGGCTGGGATCCATCCTCCCCTGAACTGAGACCACGAACCGAGCATCGCATTGAGTCTCCGTGCCGAGATCACCGCATGCCGCTTCACCTCGTGCTGCATCTCCGGTTGCCACTCATTGCACCGCTCCCAGCACCGAGCATCGCACCGCTGACCCCAAGAGCAGCACCGTACTGTTCCTTGCCACCAATCACTGCCACCAGTCCCGAGCATCTCTCCCACATGGAATCGTAAGATGGCTGCCGCATCCGAGAGCCTCTCTGCTTTCGACATCTCCCAACCATCGCAATGGGAAACCTGGCTGGAGACCCTTGAGAGCCACTTCACCATCCATGATGTCACCGATCCGGGTAAGAAGAAGATGTACCACCTCCGGCACTGTGGTATGGAGGCTCATCTTCTACTGAAGGACCTGATAGTGCCCCAGCTGACCAAAGATGAGTCATACACCACTTTGGTCAAGGCGCTTTCGGACCACCTGGCTCCCAAACCAACAACATTTGTGGAGCAGATGGACTTTTTTGCAAAGATCCAGGGCCCTGACGAGACCACCTCTACTTTTCTTGCGGCTCTGCGATGGGCCGCCACAAGGTGGTTGTTCCCAGATCTGGCTGATGTGCTCCTTAATCAATTCCTCTTGGGCCTATGGGAGCACAAGCTCTGGAGGAAGCTGGTCAGCCAATATGACCTAGATCCCAACAAAGCGATCCGGGAGGCCACCGCTTATGAGAAGGTCCACCAAGACTGCCATGCAAGGTGGTCCACCGAAAACAAGCATCTGTAGGCTCCAACGGCTCCGAGGATGAGGAGATCCTGATGGTCCACCGCAGGCCGTCCCAGCGCCCTGAACGCCCAACGGGATCCACCTCAGTGAAAGCTGCACCAGCTGTGGCGACATGCATGAACGCCGGTCTTGCAGATTCCGGAATGCCGTCTGTCGATCATGCAACAAGGCCGGCCACATAGCCAAGGTTTGCTGCTCCAAAGGACAATGACAGCGAACCACGGCACAGCTGGAATTGATGGAACTGCACTCCATTTCGGTGATGCAGCAGCAACTGGCATGTAACTTGCCCCTTGATGGCCCGGACAAGGTGCATGTGACTGTTCTTATTAAGGGGTCCCCCTGCCAAATGGAAATTGACAAGGGCTCATCCTTTTCCATCATTTCGGTTAAGATGTTGCATGCCCTCTGTCGGCAGGGGGGACCCCATCTGCACAAGCCACAGGGGCTCAAGTTGCGGGACGTTAATAAGAACCCTGTGGTGGTCCGGAGCTGGGGCAAGTTCCGAGTACAGTTTTAAGACTTTTCATGGTTGTTGGACCTGTTGGTAGTAGAAGGGCGCCTCTCTAGTTTGCTGGGCCCCTGGGACTTACAATTACTGGGGTAAACCAGATCCGGCCGCCGGACTTCATGGCTGTGTGCGTGGAGTTCCCTCGGGTATTCGATGGGACTCTGGGGAGGTACACCGGGGCCCCCATTTCACTGGACCTTGACTCCAATGTCTGGCCCATCCGTATAAAAGCCCATCTTCCCCCCATCGCTATGAAGCCTAAAATTGAGGTGGAGCTCGATCGCCTGGTCGAGAAGGGGGTGCTGGAACCGGTTGCATCCCCCCTCGTCACGCTGGTGAAGCCAAACGAGGATGTGTGTATATGTGCAGATTATAAATGCACGATAAACAAAGCCTTACATGACTATGCTTACCCAGTTCCGGTGGTAAGCCACATCCTGGCCACACGTGAATTTTCGGCAAGCTGGATTTGGCACAGGGCTACCAGCAGTTACCGGTCTATGCGGCCTCTGCAGAGGCGCAGACGATCACTACGCACGGGGGGGGCGTTTAAAGTCAATAGACTACAGTTTGGTGTGTGTGTGGCCTCGGGGATCTTTCAATCTTTTATGGATTCCGTGCTCAAAGGCATCCCAGGAGTGCAGTCATTTTTAGATGATGTGATCATCGTGGCACCGGATCCCACCACCTTTGCTGATCGGCTCTGGCGGCTGTGGAAATTGCTCAAGATGTGCGACCCCGCCAGCCTCAAGGTAAAGAAAGAAAAATGCCTCCTCAGTGTGTCTCGCATCAAGTTTCTGGGGTTCGCCGTGGATGTCCAAGGGATCCACCCACGGACAAGGAGGGGCTGGCGATAGTGGCAGGAGTAAAAAAACCCCACCACTATCTCTACAGCCAGCCCTTTACAGTGGTGACAGACCATAAGCCCCTCTTGGGTCTCCTAGCCCCCAACCGTCAAACGCCTCAGATGGTTTCACCCCGGGTCCTGCACTGGTCCATTTTCATGGTGGGCTACACATACGTGCTCGTCCATTGCCCACCGTGGACCCCTACCCAGCCCCAGCCCACATGGTCGCCCTCTTGGAAGATCTTCCTGAGTGCCCGGTTCATGTGCGGGAGGTCACCCGCCTGATGGCCCAGGACAAGGTTCTCTGTCGGGTCTTGGACTGGGTGGGGAGGGGATGGCCTATGGCCAAGGTGGGCCCCGAATTCATGCCATTCATCACATGGAAGGACGAGTTGTCAGCGTATAAGGGTTGTTTGATGTGGGGAGGTTGGGTGGTGATACCGGTGCCTCTCCAGCAATGTGTCATAGAGGCTCTGCACGAACACCACCCTGGGGGGAGGATGAAGGCACTCGCAAGGAGTTACGTCTGGTGACTGGGGCTCAACCGGGACATAGAGGAGAAGGTAAAAGATGTCAGCCGTGCCAAGCATATCACCCAGAACCGCCTAGCGCCCCAGAGAGGGCCTGGGAGTCCTCTCACCGCCCCTGGTTGTGGCTTCATCTGGACTTTGTGGGACTGTTCCAGGGGCAGCTGTTTTTCATTTTGGTTGATTTATTTTATTTATTTATTATTCACATTTATACCCCGCCCTCCCCATAGGCTCCATAGGCATATAGCAAGTGGCTGGAGGTCATCCCAGTACCGTCAACCTCTTTGAGGTCCACTATCAGAGCCATGTGGCGGATCTTCAGTGCCCAGGGCATCCCAGACACCCTGATAATGGACAATGGGACCGCCTTCATGTCCGTGGAGTTCCAGGAATTCACCAGCTATTATGGGATCCGCCATGTCTGCTCGGCCCCGTTCCATCCTGCCACCAACGGCCAAGCAGAACCATGATGAGGACCACCAAAGACACGCTCCGCTGGCTAGAGACCAAGGAATGGGATTACAAGTTGGCCTCGTTCCTCTTCGGGCAGAGAACCACCCTGCATACCACCATGGGGCATAGCCCAGCCGAGCTACACCTAGGCAGATGTCTCACGACAAGATTGTACCGACTTCACCCAGACAGGGCCCGGAATGAGAACCCGACATCAAGACGCAGGACGCGACACAGGGTTTCTTCCTGGAGGACCCTGTGTATGTGCGGAACTTCGCCAAGGACCTTCCGTGGATCCCTGTGAGTGTGGTGAGAGTTAAAGGGCCCCGTTCCTACAAGGTCTCCGGTGAGAATGGGCTAATTCTCCACCGCCACATCAACCAGCTGCGTCGGTGCACGCTGCCTCTGGAGCTGAAGGACCTGGAGAACCCGGTTGCCCCCAAAACGGAGGAACCTTTACCTCCAGGTGGTACCCCACAGGCCCTGCACCCATTCGATCACCAGCCCAGCAGCCCACAACACCCTGCAAGACTTCTATGTCAACTCCTCTGTCGCCGGCCAGCACTCCGCCGAGTGCATCGGCATCGGCCCCGGCTCTGCCAACCCGAGGACTCCATCGCTCCACATGGGAATGGAAGGCACTGGCATATCTCAAGGACTTTGTGTGTGGGTGTCTTTTGGACTAAGGGGAGAGGAGTGTAATGAACTCATTCCAGACCGCGTGCGAGGCAAGGGCACCACGTGGTTGTTTGAAGCCATTGAGCTTCACTCACAATGACAATGGACCCTGCAGATCCTAGACCGTACCAATAGGGGGGCTAGGCTCCCGGCTGAGAGCCTATGGAACTCTTGGCCACTGTAAATAGCCAATACAGGGAGTGGGGGGGTGTTTAAGGTGTGTGTTTCCTTGCACATATAAGCCAGCCTGCGAGCCGAGCAAATTGTCTTGTTCTGCAGTAATAAAAGTATGTGAGTTGAAATCACTCGTCCGTCTCCATACTTTTCAGATAGGGAAGGACTTACAGGAAGGGATAGGAAGGGAATTAGTCCTAAGGCTATAGTCACCTTTCTTCACGTTGGAGGGGTGGGTTTCATTTCCAGGTAGCACTTCGAACAAATGAGCAAAAAACCTGTAACTTCCTCACAAAGAACACGAATTTCTGTAACCCACTCACAAGCCCTATTTTTATTTTTGGAAACTGTAGAAATGTATCAGTTGAATAAGAAGAATTTTGTTTAAACTCAGAAACTTTAACCTAGTTATAAGGAACACTCTCCTTAATTAAAGGATAACTTTCTTGAGTCACCCCTTAGCCTCAACACCCTGACAGTCACAGTAATTAAAGGAGGATTTTCCCCAGGATCATTTAAGTGACAGTAATCCTGCAAAATATTTCTTGAGCCCTTGAAAATGTCCAATGGCAAAACTGGTTGGGTCAGATAGATATGGGTTTAATCCAACCAGCCTTTGTGCTGGTGAAAATAGGTAGAAGGGGTCTCCTTTGGCTACCCTATAATGTTATTCTGAGGGGTGTATGTGTTATGGAAGCTGCATGGAAAAAAGTTATGTGGGGAAGGGGCTGTAATAAGAAGAATTTGGTGAGCTTGAGAGGGGGAAAAGCCAGCTGAACCAAAGCAAAAACCTGGCTGGCTCCAACCCCAAAAGCTTTGGAAGTACTAGTGCTTCTAGTTTTTTTGACCTGAAAATTTCATGTTCTAAACACAAGATCTCATCCTTTACGTTAAACCTGTCATGTCACAAGATGTTTTGAAAAATATTATTATGTGGGATGAATTAGTGATGGAGGTGGGGTACTTTTGTTATTGTTCCTTGGCCACCCAGTAGGGACTCTTTCAAATGAGACATTTCCTGACACAGACTTCAATCTCTTAGCTCTCACTTTTCTGGGTTTGGTTGTGCCTGAGTCATATGAATAGATATAGGAGGTTAGGCAGTCAATCAATCAGGACTAATTTGCACTGTGTCTCAGTATGTGAGGTACATGGTGAGGCATGGGAGTATGCTTTGGGATCACTGTCACCTCCTTCATGAGCATGTAGTACACGGAGAAAATTTTCTGTGAACATGGACATTTTCTACATGGACATTTGTAGATGGATAG